ACGCACCTCTTCGGCGCGCTGAAGGTACTCGCTCACATCGACGTTTTCTTCGTCGGTGACGCTGGGTAAACTGGCGTCGAGCGTCGTAGCCAGGGTTCTTCCGTAGACCAGTTTGTACGCCGTCATTTGAATCGTTTCTTGAACGGCGGTGTTGTCTGCGAAGGTCAAGTACAAAAGGATGGCATCCCACGTCTTGTGTTCGACGTCGGCGTACGTGGCCAGCATGTCGGCGATGGTCTTATTAAGACGCTCGCTGGGGCCAATGGTCTGTGAATGGTAGGTAGTGGTCCGGCGGTCACTTGTATGGCTGTACCTCAGGATGGCTTGAGTCAGGTGCACCGTAAAGGCCGCACCTCTGTCAGTAATGAGGACCTGTGGGGCTCCGGGACGCAGGACAATGCTTTCGACAAATAATTTGGCTTCCACGGCGACACCGCCTTTCGGAAGGGCCATTGTCTCGGCTTTGCGCGTAAAGTAGTTGGTAGCCATGACGACCCATTTCTTCCCGGAGTTTGACGTCGAGAATGGCCCCAATAACTCCATCCTGATTTGCTGGAACGGCCAGTGAGGTGGCTCAATGAGCTGGAGAAGTCAGGCTGGCCTAGTCGGTGGTGTATTTCGTCATTGGCATTCTCGACATGTCTTCACATAACGAGTGACGTCGGTAAAAAGGCGTGGCCAGTAATACTTCTCCTTTATTCTGGTGAGCGTACGGAAAACACAGGGTGTCCAGACGTCGGGTCGTCATGTAGAGCATCAAGAACGTCTGGACGTTACGCTGAATGCAATACGACGAGGTAAGGTAGTTGGCCCAAAGTGGTGAGAAGTTTTTTTTCGGGAGAACGTCATTTTGCAAAAAAAACTGTTTTAACTATTCGTTTGAATACTTCTGGAACAACAGTGGCCTTGCCCTCAAGGTATTCTACAAGGCTCCTGAGTTCAGGGTCAGCTCGCTGTCACTCGGCGAAGTCGTCGGCACTTATCGTTCCTAGGAAGCAGTCATCGTCGGGGCCGTCCTTTGGCGGTGGTTTGACGGGGGCACGTGACAAGAAGTCGGCATCAGACTGTTTTCTTCCACACTTGTGAACGATGGTACTGTCAAATGTTTGAAGTCTCAGGCCCCACCATGCGAGGTGACCTGAAAGGTGTTTCAAGTTAGCTAGCCAACACAAGGCGTGGTGGTCACTCACAACTTTGAAAGGCCTGCCGTAAAGGTAAGGGTGGAAATTCAATGTAGCTCAGATGGTCGCAAGGCACTACTTTCCTTTTGGAGAATAGTTGGCCTCGGCCTTTGATGAAGACCGGCTAGCGTAGCTGATGACTCTTCCAAGTCCGTTAGTCTTCTGTACAAGAACGGTGCCGAGACATACGTTGCTTGCGTTGGTGTGTATTTCTGTCTCAGCGAAATTGTTGAAATGCGCACGTAGCAGAGGCGTCTACAGCCGTCGTTTCAGTTCCTGAATTGCTTCCTCTTGCAGAGTTTCCCACTTAAACTCCACGTCAATCGTGGTAAGGCTAGTGAGTGCCTATGCGATGCGGGTGAAGTTTTTGACGAACCGCCTGTATTAGGCGCATAGGCCAAGAAATTGACGCACGGCCTTCTTGTCGGTTGGCGGTGGGAAGCTGGCAATGGAAGATGTTGGGGCGAATACCGGACTTGCTGATGACGTAACCCAGGAACAAGAGCTCCTCATGTACAAAGCAGCACTTTTCTACCTTCAGGTTGAGTCAGCAGTTCTTGATAGCTGGCAGTACAGCTTCAAGGCACCGAAGATGTTAGTCGAAGTTTCAGGAAGACTACACGACATCGTCCAGGTACACAAGGCAAGTCTGCCACTTTAAGCTGGTCAGTACTGAATTCATAACACATCAGAAAATCGCAGGCGCCGAGCAAAGACCAATAACCATGCCCTTGCACTCGAATAGGCAATACGGTACTATGAAGGCCGTTTTTTCTCGATCTTTCTCGTCGACTTCAATCTGCCAATAGCCGGTCTTGAAGTCCATCAAAGGAACGTACCTCGCACTGTGAATGCAATCGTTGATTTCGTCTATGCGGGGGAAAGGATACTCGTCCTTCTTCGTGATGTTGTTCATGCGGTGATATTCGACGCAGAAGAGTAGGGTGTCGTCATTCTTCTTGACTAATACAACGGGTGACGCCCATGGATGGACTCATTGAAGGCTGGATGGTGTAGTCTCAAAGCATTTCATCGACCTGCTTCTTTATGGCGTCGCGTTTTCGCGTCAACACTTTGTACGGGCTCTGGCGGTGTAGCCTGGCACTCTCTTCAGTTAGGATCCGAAGTTCAGCGACCGGGGTTTGTCGAATTTTAGACGAAGATGAAAAACACTCCTTGTATTGTCGGAGCAGATCTATGAGCTGTTCTTGCTTATGCGTCGGAAGGCTTGCGTTAACGTCGAAAGTTAGTTGACAAGATTGGTTCGTCGTATGAGCTTCGGTAGAGTCGGCGAGGGCGAAAGGGTTGCTGGCTTCCATTGTGTCTTCGATGTAGGCAACCGTGGTGCCATTGCTCACGTGCTTATATTCGTTGCTGAAGTTTGAAAGCATCACTATAGCTTTCCCTCCTCGCAGTTCGGCTATTCCTCTGGCAACACAAATTTCGTGGTTGATCAACAGGTACTTGGCGCCTTTAACGACGCCTTGCCTGTTTGTTGCTATTCGTGTGCCGACGAAAATGTTGACGCTGGAGCGAGAAGAAATGGTGACTTGTACTTCCAAGCACATTGAAGGCGCGGGGTGGCAGTGCTTTTTCTGTTGATAGCGTTATCGACTTTGATCTGAGGTTTATCACTGCAGCGTGAAGGTGCAAATCCATACCAAGAATGATGTCTCAGGAGCAACGTCGTAGCACCACAACGCTTGCGGGGTAAATCCGGTTGGTAATAAAGACTCTGGCTGTGCAGATTTCTGTAGGCGTTTCTAAGGGACTTCCAGCTGTCTGGCTCTTATGGCCCTCCCACGCGGTCTTCATTTTCTTCAACCTCGTAACGAACGCTCCCCTGATGGCGGAATACTCAGCTCCGGTGTCAACGAGAGCTGTCACATTGTGACCGTCGATAAGAACGTCGAGGTTGCTAGTTCGTCATTTTGTGTTGCAGTTGGACTTTGGCGAAGGGTCACGACTACGTTGGCTTCTTTTGATGCTTCCGTGTTGCGTCATTAGGTCGTCTTCGGTGCATGAAGTTCTGATGTCACGGCTAGGTCGGGATACTGCCGCGTTCTTAAGGTGTCGTCATGGCGTCGTCGTCAGTGGTGGAGTATTTTCGGTAGTTTGTCGTACAGCAACCGCCACTTCATCGGTTACTGTCCTTAGGTTTCTGAAGGATGCAGGCAAGGCAACCGGCCATGGATTTGTTCAGTGTAGGGCCGGCAGTGCGGTGAGTTGTAGCGGCCGGAAGACGGGGAACGGTATGGTCGTCCTCTTGCCACCGTTTTCGGTGATGTAATCGGCAATATCGCAAGGCTTTTCACCAAGCTGCGGACGCGGCGCGTTGACGGCGAATCCCCGGAGCCCATCTGTAGGTACTGTCCGCGGTGGCAGGTGTGGCCCAACGTTACTAAAATAACGTTGGTGTGGCCGGCCTTGCCGCAGTTGTAGCATAGCCGGTGGTTGTCAGGGGCGTACCAAACGTCTTTTTTGTTGATGTGAGGCGCTGGCCGAGAGAAGAACTATAGGACGCCGGTGGTTGTGGCAGCGGCGGCGTCTGGCGTGGGCGTGGTGTGGAAGCGGAGGGGGGACGTTGCGTCAGGAAGAAACAGCGTAGCTCATCGTTTGCGGCTGAGGCTGCGGTGCTTTAGAAACTCCAAGATACTGCCGAACTTTGCGGACAATGTCGGCGATTCAGTCCACTTGGGCCTGCGATGAAAACAACAGCTTCCCTAGCTGCTCCCGCACGATCTGTCAGATCGTTTCGCGTACGTCATAGAAGCCGAGGGTGTGAACAGCTTTGCCATTTTGCATCACTCGGCAATTGTACAGCCGGGTACGCCTTTCTAAAGTCTTCTCAATGGTCGCAGCCTGCGAGACAAACTCTTGAATCGATTCGGGAGGAATCCGCACGAGCCCAGCGAAGAGATCTTGCTTTACCCCTCGCATGAGCAAACGGATCTTTTTATTTTCGGTTATGTCAGGGTAGGTCGGTCGGAACAGGCAAATCACTTCTTCCTTTGGCATGCGAGAGGTACTGGTTCGATACCCAGAACCTCCATCAGATGTCACAGTGCCGTGACGCTGACAAAGGTAGAGATGACTTGTCCTAATGAAGTGTTTATTTAATTGACCTAACTTGTGGCCACGTAAAAGAAATGCCAGATTACAGCAAGACACTCGCATACTGATAACAGCGGGCGGAGCGTCGGCCGTCGATCAACTGACAAGCGGCGAAGCGTGTCAGCAATTACACCTTTGCCATCGAATGTTCTAGCGTTATTGCTAGCGGCGACGTAGAATCCAGAACAATCTGTGACGTTCCCGAAAAGGGCGTAATCTTATTAAAACGATCTACTAAAGCCTCGAAGCTTCTCGAACGTCATAGGCACGGTTTGCGTTGAACTTAGTGTAACGGGGAAATAACAAAACCTAAGGAAATGAACGTGACACTATAAACAATCTGACTAACTATGTTGTTTTGGTCAGATTGCTTTCCTTTGACTCTCTGAAACCTTACGCGCTTTTCATATGCCCTAAAATAAGAATAGCTGTCAATGTTATAATTCATAAAATGAAAACGCTTGGGTAACCCTTTGTTCTGTGTTAAACGCAGTTGCATATAATAGGACAACAGATTGCAATCACTGATCTTACTATGGAATGAAAACAATCCATTGACAAAATCTGAATTTCGTACTCCTCCTGACGCCCCTATAAGGTCATTTGTGTGTATGTTGTCAATAAGTACTCTCCCACTTCGATCAGTTAAAGGTGGTAGTTGCATTGGTTATGTGGATACTGCCTAAATGCAAGCTTCCCATGCAGGTCACAGAAGGAGATCCGCACCGAAGGCCTGTTCGCAGCTCTCAATGACTGCGTGTACCGCAGCATGAACCATTTCGACTACGTCCTCGTCCTTGACTTGGACGAATTTGCCGTTCCTCGGAAGGACGACAGTCTACCTGCAATGGTGACCAGACTGAAACGCGCTGCGCCACGCACCATGAGTTACGTGCTTTTGAACAGCTTCTTTTACCTCTACTGGGAAAACGACACTACTGCCTACGGAGCCCTGCCAGAGACTGCTCCTCTGGAGATTCCATATCTGCTTACCCAGTTCAAGACTCGCCGGTCAAAAAAAGTGTTCCGAGTTGGATCGCGCTCCAAGTACATCGTACGTCCCGTGGCGGCTGTTGAAGTGGGGAACCACGTCGTCTGGAGATACCTTGGTGAACATTTCACTCTTATTTGTTCCTGCGCTTAACGTTACATTAGGTGAATAACGTTTATAGTGCACTCTCTTGATTTCCCTTGTACTTTTTGGTGGTGCACATTATAGTGATTTGTACGCCGAGGCGGGGCAATGGTTACGATGCTCTGCGACTGACTTCGTGATAGCGGGTTCTGTCCCGGCAGTGGCTATCGTGTTTGAATGTCTGAAAAATTCTACAGGCTGCTGTGGTGCGCGATGTCAATGCACCTCACGGAAAATTATACGAAAAAAAATTTGGAGCACACTTCTACTACGTTTCTCACTATAATATTGTGATTTAGGCACGCGAAACACCGGATAATAACTGATGATGCATTTTTGGCACGTTCAGTTAAACTCCAAAGTTAATATGCCAAGCAGGTGATGGCTGTCATGATACATGTCTAAATATCATACCCGACCTGTGCACAGCTTCGCAGCGCTGCTGCTACGAGGGTGACTGGGACGCATTCCGCAAAAGCATTAACGTTCTCTACATACAAATTAGATCACAGTGTCCGCGTTTCCACACAACTACCGCAACATATCTGCTCGTTCGCAAGGTAACTCAGGGTTTCAGAGACATTGAATTATGCATGTAATTACGCTAGAGATACGCGATGAAACATTTTCTTCTATACAACACTTGTCTCAACAAAGCGTTTGCCAATACTCAACGCTCTTCGCCCTGTTAAGGCAAAACGCCAATATTCTATTTTTCAGCGTAGGTCAGATGGCAGAGAGACTAGCACGATGCTTCTTTAGGTGCAGCCTGCAAAATGCGCGGAAAGACGGAAGGAAAAAAAAGCAACGGCCGCCGAGCTTTCGGCCCGAGCCGAATGATGTTCACTTTAATGGTGATAAACGATACGTTGGTGCAAAAGCTCTTAGTTTTTAGTGAAGGTCAGTAGAATTATTTCCTCATTTATTTTCCTTTTTAGAAGCACTCAGTGAGCGAAGAACGACGATTATCACTTAGTGTAACAGTGTTATCGCCCCAATGGGACATCGCTCTCAGCCATCCATGTAGACGTTCAGGAAGCGTAAAGCGATTATAGATGTCCTAATTGCCGCAAAAGCAGACCAAACTGTGCCATTTAATGGATATACATGCGAAAAAAACATCATTGAAGGTGTTGAGAAATGTGGTAGCGGACTAAAATATGTTTCACTGCTTCAGCTTGTGCACCGAAACACAAGGTCGTAATGTTTTTGTGTATTGTTTCGGTACCGATTAAGACGCCATGACCGTGAGTCGCACGCCACAAACTTGAACGCAGTGACAGCGCTTTATGGCCAAAAAGGTACGCCAACATAACTTCAAGACGTGACGGACGTAATGTAGAGTGGAAAATTTTTGAAATCTTATAATTAGCGCCTCTTTGCAAATTCTATTTTGGGCATGCAAGTTGATGACCATAATGTTCATTGACGTTCACCTTTTTGCAGTAATTAGTCATTGATTTATCGAATGATTTCACGAATTACTCTTCTTGGCTCATCAGTTTAGGCAGATATACAAGAAAAAATTCAAGCTTGAGAGGAGGAGGAAATAACTTTATTCAGAGTCCGGCGAGTAGATGGGGTGGGCGAATGTCCCGCCTAGGCTACGGCCAGGAGTCCCTTGATCCTGGTGGCTTCCTAGGCCCGCTGGACGGCTCACATTTGGTCTTCGAGAACGAGGCTGAGCACTTCGGCTTACCAGCGTGCGCGAAGGCTGTCAACAGAGGCCGCATACTCGTTATGGGCACTAATCCCTCTACATTCTCATAAAATATGCTCCAGAGTGGCTCTGAAATCGCTACACTTGCAGCTGTTCGTTTTGTATATATCAGGATATATAATGTGCGAGAGTGCACAATTCAGATACGTCCTAGTTTGTAACTGCCGCCATTCGACAGACTGTCTTTTTGTTGATTTTGGGAGAGGAGGCGGGAACATGCCCCTCCGTAATCTATAATGGTTTGTAATGTCGCTGTATTTGGTCATTCTGTCTTCCCACACCCACTCGTCTGCCGCGCCGTAATCACCGGAGGAGGCTGGGGCGGCACTTGAGAGGGCAGCTCGGTCGGTGAGCCCTCGAGCTGCGTCAAGTACAGCCCTGTTGTAGCTGTCCTCCACGATGGTGTGAGCAGGTGTCCATATAACATATGTATTTCTGGGGCTTGTTCTACACCCTCCTTGTAGAATACGTAGTGCCTCCGGGAAGATGCGGCCATTGGCAAAATTTCTCACTGCCGTTTGAGAGTCACTGACTATTACGGTTGCGTTTGTCTGAGCTACTGCGAGCGCTATGGCTACCTTTTCCACTGTCTCGGTACTTGGGGTGCGTATCGTCGCGCATGTCATACATCGTTTGTTGCTATCGATTGCGGCTGCCGTAAACCCCCGTCTGCGCTTGTATCGAGCAGCGGCTACAAAAACTGCGTCCTTGTCATTACCGAACTTTTTTTTTGCATTTGCTATGCTCTTGTCTCTCGTCTGGCCTTATTGTGTTCGGGGTGCATGTTTTTTGGCAAGGGGGTATCATCGTTGTTTCCCTGGTCTCTCTTGGGATGTCCACTTTGACACCGTGTTGTGTGTGATACGTTATGCCTAGTCTCTATAGGATATGTCTTGTTGCTCGTGTCTAAGAGAGACATTCATATTACGCCGTACGCTGCGCCTCAATGAGCTCATTCATATTATTGTGCAGGCCTAGCTGTAGCAGTTTGTCGGTGCTTGTGGTACTCGGTAGCCCTATGGCTAGTTTGAATATTTTTCGAATGAGGCAGTCTAACTTGATCTTTTCCGCGACTTGCCATTTTAAGTACGGCGCAACGTATACTATTCTGCTTATGACGAATGCATGTGTCAACCTTATCGTGTCTTCCTCCCTCATGCCACTATGCTAAGTTGCTATCTTTTTTATGAGTCTCGTTATTTGGGCTACAGTTGCATCCAGTCGTCTGAAGGTTTCTCCGTTGTTGCCCTTGGCTTCGATGAGCAGACCCAGTACCCTGATCCTGTCGACTATGGGTATAGTTTTTCCATCGGCTGATCTTATCTGTATTTCTTCTCTTCGAGCGAGGCCTTGCAGGCAGTTGCCTGGTCTGCGACCTCTACGAGTAGGTCTGTACAGCACCAGCTCCGATTTTTCCGCAGAGCAGGCTAGCCCAGTACCTTCCGGATACCGGTCAACCGTTTTGACTGCTTTTTGAAGCGTTTCATCTATTTGAACATCACTCCCACTTCGCACCCATAGGGTGATGTCGTCTGCATGTATTGTATGATTCAGTTTTTCGATTGCTATAAAAAAAAAATAAAAAAAAAAATAAAAAAAAATGCCAATAAAAAAAAAAAAAAAAAGATTGCTTGGAGTTTGGTTGGCAGTTCAATTAGGGCCAGATTGAATTACATAAGCAATAATACCTAGCCTTGCGGCGTACCTGCACTGCCCATCTCGATTTCCTCCGACACTAGGCCCCCTATTATGATCTTTGCCTACCTTCCCGTCAAGAAATTACGTACGTAATTGTACGTCCGTTGTCCAAGACCTAGATCGTTTACCCTTTTTAGCACCGTTGCATGGGTTACATTATCAAAGGTCTTCTTGAAGTCTAACCCTAGAATGGCATTCGTCGCTGTTCCCGGATTATCTATAATCTGATGTTTTAACTGTAGCATTGCGTCTTGTGTTGAGAGGTTCCTCCTGAACCCTATCATTGTGGGTGGAAGCGCATCCGGGTCCTCCAGATAGGTAGTTATCCTCTCCAGAATTACGTGCTCCTTGAGCTTTGCCACGCAAGATGTGAGAGATATGGGTCTCAAGTCCGCAATCTGCAGTCGCTTGCCTGGCTTGGTTATTAACACGATTTCGCCGTCTTCCATTGTTGCGGAATCTGCCCTGCTTTCCATGATTTGTTAACAAATTTAGTTAACTTAGTTATGGACTCGTCATCTGAATTGCATAGCGTTTTGTCAGTTATGCCATCTAGTGCGGGTGCTGATCCAGTATTGAGTTTTTGCAAGGCGGCCCTCAGTCCTGCCTCACCGACCTTGTTGTCTAAATCATCATTTGCCAGCCCTGTTTAATCAGGGTGTGTAAAAGAAAGCACTTGAGAGAAGTATGTTTCCTTGATTTCATTCAGAAAATTTTTGCGCAGGAGTGTGTTTCTGATGCCAATGCAGCTGCTTTGTTAAGCACGCGTATTTATTCACCTTGATTCTTCTGTTCCAAAGGTAGAAGAAGAGGATCACAAGGAAGCAATAGCAAAAAAATTAGTGGAGGAGAGAAGGAATGAATAGTAGGCAGTGGATAAGACAGCTCGAATTATTGACGTGTCCAGTTATCATTGTAAGCACTTGGAGAAACCAGCAAGGAAGAAAGGCCAAGTTTGGGGAGGGAAAAGTATCGGCAAACTGTACGGGGTCTTTCGCCTGGACGGGGTTAGACCAACGGGTTTTGAGTTCATATACAAGCTGGGAGACAAAAAAAAATGCTCTGTTGTATTTTATAAAAAAGATACATTACATATCAGCAGCGCCTTGATTTGAGATTTACCGGGCCGGGATAGCTAACAATGCTTACATAAGCATGATGAGCAGGGCTTAAGTTGGCCTTATTTTTTTCTTATTAAGTATTTTTTCTCTGTATGGTCTCCTGATTTGACGTGGCGATCTATCTTGAAATGGTGTCACCCTAACCACAAGTGCTTGTGCCTACGGCAAAATATATTCCATCTGGGCTACACCAATCCGTGACAAACATTTTCTTCCGCATGTAAGTTGGGGTGTCCTTTACGAACGCCACTGTTTGTAACAACACACCGACAGACAGTGTGGCATCTGACCACTGCGGCAGTGACGAAATCATTGAACACATTCTATGCTAATGTCTACACCAATCTGTTGTTGATGATTCGTTTGTGGGGTTTTACGTCCCAAAACCACGATATGATTATGAGAGACGCCTTAGCAGAGGGCTTCGGAAACTTC